CCAGATATGAGACAGCGGTGATGGGGCAACTGCAGTCTCATGGGAAGGGGAATGATACCGGCTCGTCCTTCCCGTCCTACCACGATCACGAGTTGCCCCCCCACAAGTGTCTCGCCAGAGTGACCATGGCTCCAGAGGCTCAGGAACCAATCTCGTAATTATCTGGCTCTTGGCAGAAGTCCCTCCAGACTCATTTAGTAAAATATCTGAAATCCAAAATCGTGTGGCCACTATTGTGGCTATGCGACATCATTTTGTTCTCATAACCAGCTATAGAAAACTAATTATTTCACAATGCCTTTTCAGCAGTTCTGATTGTTAAGCAGAAACTCTCAACAATAATGGTGCATCTTTTGTCGAAATAATGAATGTAATCAAAGTAGAGAGATAGTTAAGTATAAATCATCTGCCTCACAGGCTTTGGGTGGGGTGGGTGGGGGGTATATTGAAGGTTCTTGGTGGAGAAAAATAATTACTAGTGAAAGGAAAGCTGTTTGATCATGGTATGACCAAGACTTTAAACTTAAAGCTTTGTAACTTTTCCCTCAGGAATTCAATAAATAAATGTAACAACAACAAAAAAAGAAAGTCTGGATGCCACGAAACAAGAGAACCTAAAAGAAATGGATAATTTCTAGATTCCGATAATCACCCAAAGTTTAACCAAGAAGATATGGTCTACTCAATAGACCTATTAATATTAAAGAAATTGAAACTATAATAAAAAATCTTCCTTCAAACAAAAGCCCAGGTCCAGATGGATTCACTAGCGAATTTTTCCAAACATTTAAAGAGGAACTATTGACAATTCTTCTCAAGCTTTTCCAGGTAATTGAAGAAGCAGAAACTCTCCCAAAAAGTTTCTATGAGGCACATATCTCCCTAAAGCAAATGAGACAACACACACACAGACACACCAAAAAAACTACAGGCTAATATCCCTGAAGAACACGGATGCAAAGATTCTCAACAAAATATTAGCAAATAAAATCCAACAACTCATCAAAAAGATCATACAACACGACCAAGTGGATTCATCCCGGAGATGCAAGGATAGTTTAACATTCGGAAATCAATCAACGTAGTCTATCATGTCAACAAAATTTCCCTTCACGAGTAATTATTTTTCACCACCAAGAACCCCAATATACACCCCTCCCACCCCTTCCAAAGCCTGTGAGGCAGATGATTTCTACTTAACTCTCTACTTTGATTACATTCATTATTTCGACAAAAGATGTCATATGATAAAAACCATATGATCATAACAATAGATCTAGAGAAAGCATTTGACAAGATCCAGCACCCACTTATGATGAAAACTCTCACCAAAACTGGTATAGAAGGGACTTTCCTCAATATAGTCAAAGCCATCTACCACAAGCCTATGGTAAGTATCGTCCTCAATGGGGAAAAACTAAGACCCTTCCTTCTAAGATCAGGGATGAGACATGATGCCCACTCTCTCCATTCCTGTTCAATATAGTAATGGAAGTACTGGCAATAGCAGTTAGACAAGAAAAAGATATTTAAGGGCATTCTGGTATGAAAGGAAGAAATCAAGCTCTCACTATTTGCAGATGATACGATACTATACTTAGAGAAGCCTAAAACCTCTACCAAGAAACTCCTAGAAACAATAGACTTTTATAGTAAAGTTTCAGGCTATAAAATCAATACCCAGAAGTCCATGGCTTTCCTATACACAAATAATAAAATAGAAGAAAGTGACACAAATAAAGCAATCCCGTTCACAATAATGCCTCAGAACGGGGGTATGATGCTGCCAGCAGGTCAATATGTACCTGTGAGGCAAGTGCATCAGCAGCCTGATGGCACCGTCAGGCTTTCAGATACCCCAAAATTGCTACTCTGCCTTTGGCCAGACCCCAAAAACTTGGGGCAAAGTTTACCAAGAAAGTAAACAGCCACAAGTTAGGTATGTGGGAGACACACCCACAAACCACCTCTGGGTCAGCTGTATAATTGGAGTCATGGCCTTTCTGGTTCATGATCGAACTGCTTAATGGACATGATCCCAGACTCAGAAACAAATATCGGAACCCAAAGGCTTTGGGCAGAAGTGCATCTTGTTCCTGCAGTAGGTTACTGGCGCTGGGCCATCCAGGTGGGAATAGGTTTCATGCCTTGGCCTATTCCCCCTGGCGACCTGGTTGAGCACCATCCTCCAGAGGCCAGTGGACAGTCAGGCTTGGGCCTGCAGTGATAAGACACGCAGGGCCTCACTAGATGGGGGTGGAACCAGCCCTTTCCTCCCCATCCCAGCGAGACCCCAAGTTGCCGCCTACAAATGGCCTCTCTGGCTCCTAATCAAGTTAATTAACGGTCATGATCCCAGAGACTCAGAAACATATCTCAAAACCCAGCGGCTTTTTGGCAGAAATGCATCTGGACTGCATACAAGGTGGCTGCCACCTCATAGCTTCTTGGAAAGCCAGGTATGAGCTGGCGGTGATGGGGTAACTGCTGTCTCATGGGAAGGAGGGTCATACCGGCTTGTCCTTTGCACCCTACCGAGGTCACGAGTTGCCCCCATGAGCAGCTCTTTGGCATGGCCATAAAACCAGATGCACAGAAACCAATCTCGTAATTATCTGGCTCTTTGCATAAATCCAAAATTGCGCGGCCGCAAGACATTTCCTGATTCTCATAACCAGCTATAAAAAAAAACAAAGTATTTCACAATGCCTTTTCAGCAATTCTGATTGTTGCGGGGTGGGGGGGATCTAAACAATAATGGTGCATCTTTTGTTGAAATAATGAATGTAATCAATGTAGAGAAGAGTTAAGTAGAAATCATCTGCCTCACAGACATTGGGAGGTGTGTGGGGTGGGGTATATTGGGGTTCTTAGTGGTGAAAAATGAGTACTGGTGAAGGGAGAGGTGTTTGATCATTGTATAACCGAGACTTAAACCTGAAAGCTCAGTAACTTTCCCCACAGTGATTCAATAAATAAATATAAGAAGAAAAATAAATAAATAAAATTATGAAAAAAAAAAATAAGGTGGAGTTCATGCCTAATTCAATCAGCTAATCAGTGGCTGAATAAATAGCAGTACTCCTACATAAAATAAAAATAATAATAATGCCTCAGAAAATCAAGTACCTAGAAATCCGCTTAACTAAGAAGATAAAGGACTTGTACAAAGAAAACTACAAAATGCTACTTAAAGAACTAAAAGAGGACAGGAGGAAATGGAAAGATACCCCCTGCTCATGGATAGGGAGGATAAACATCGCAAAAATGGTAATACTCCCCAAAGCATTGTACAAATTCAATGTGATCTCTATAAGATTGTGTCTATTTCTTTGACATTCTTCAAAGAAATGAAGCAAACACTCCTGAAATTCATATAAAACAATAATCCCCCATGAATAGCTAAAGCAATTCTTGGGAAAAAGATAATGGGAGGAATCACACTCTCCAATCTCAAACTCTACTACAAAGCAGTAATATTTAAAACAACATGGTACTGGAACAAAGGCAGAACTGCAGACCAATGGATCAGAGTTGAATATCCTGACACACACCCCCAAATATATAATCATCTTATCTTTGATAAGGGAGCAAGAAATGTGCAATGCAGCAAGGAAAGCAAATGCTTATCAAAAGTAGAAAAATATGGTTAGTGAGTTAATGAGAACAGAATTAGCACTGTATCACTGTCCTCCAGTTGTTCATCAATTTGCTTCAAGCTGCACTAATTGATTGCAGAGCAGAAAAAGGTTTCAAAAATGCCAGTTTAGTATTCCCTCAAATATGTTTTTTAAGACATTAGGCTAATTTATTAAATATTTGAAAAGACAAAATTAAAGCTTCTCACTAGGTCAGCAACAAAATCTCCTTCATAGGATTTAAGTTAAATTGTTTTCTTTTTTCTTTTTAGATCTGAAATGCTTTATTTTTTAAAATTTGTATTAGTGAAACACCATGAGGTACAGTTGTAGACTTACAAATTTTTGTGCTTGGGTTTCAATTATACAATGATCGAGAACCCATCTCCTCCACCACTAATCCCAGTATCCCTCCCACCCCACATCCTCCCCATCCCACCCTGCCTCTGTGTCAGGGCATTCCCTTTTGTTCTCTCTCTTCTTTTGGGTGCTGTGGTTTGCAAAGGAGGCATTGAGTGGCAATCATGTTTGGTCTATAGTATGCTTTCAGCATGCATCTCCCATCCTGGGAAGATCCTCCCAACACCCTTTATTTGGTGCTCCCTTCTCTGTTTAAGATGCCTTTTTCCCTAGCATATGTGGCTGGCCTCCAAGCCATGGAGTAAACCTCCTGGTACTTATCTCGGCTTTTCTTGGGTGTTAGTCTCCTATATTTTTTACTTTATGTTTCCCAGATGAATGTGATCTTTCTATGTCTGTCCCTTTCTTTCTGACTCATTTCACTTAGCATGATACTTTCCATGTAGTACTACTTGTATGTAAATTTCATGACTTCATCTTTTCTAACAGCTACATAGTACTCCATTGTGTGGATGTGACAAAGTTTCTTTAACCAGTCATCTGTTCTCAGGCACTCAGGGTTTTTTTTTCCAGATTCTGGTTATTGTAAACAGTGCTGCAATGAACAAACAAGTGCAGATGCCACTTTTACTATATTTTTTTGCCTCTATGGGATATGTTCCCAGGAGTGGTATTGCTGGGTCAAATAGGAGCTCAATTTCTAATTTTTTGAGAATCGTCCATACTGTTTTCCAAAAGGACTGAACCAGTCAACATTCCCACCAGCTGTGAAGGAGGATCCCTTTCTCGCCACATCCGCGCCAGCATCGGTTGCTTTTGTTCTTTGGAATTTGGGCCAGTCTCTGTGGTATGAGATGATATCTCATTGTTGTTTTGATCTGCATTTCCCTGATGATTAATGATGTAGAGCATTTTCTTATATGCCTTTTTGCCATTCAGATTTCTTCTTTGAGAAAGTTTCTGTTCATTTCATTGCCCCATAATTTTGATGGGGTTGGATGTAAAAATATGGAACACTTCATGAATTTGTATGTTTTCCTTGTGCAGGGGTCATGCTAATCTTCTCTTTATTGTTCCAATTTTCAGTAAATGTGCTGCCAAAACGAGCACTTAAATTTTTTCTAAATAATATTTTTCTTTATTTATTGAATCACCATGTGATACAGTTACAAACCTTTCATGTTTGAGTTTCAGTCATACAATGATTTAATACCCATTCCTCCAACGGTGTACATTTCCACCACCAATGTCCCCAGAATCCCCTCCCTATAGCATCCCTCCCCCTGCCTCTATGGCAGACAATTTTCCTCTTACTCTACTCTTTGGGGCATTATGGTTTGCAATACAGATGCTGAGTGGCCATCATTTTGGTCCTTTATCTGCTTTCAGCATAGATTTCCCATCCTTAGAGATCCCTCTAACCATCATTGGCATTTCACATTGTGCCACACTTTTGCAAAACTAGAGACACTATTTGGGAATTTCTATCTTCAAAAGACGAAGGGCTCACTCACCCATTACCCTGAACCAAAGAAAGAACTCAGCTACCTGTCTCCATTCTGCCAAGAATCTAAACTTCTTGGCCCAAAACTTCAGGTCTTTGGAAAGACATTTTGTTTTTATGAAAGAATATGTACTACTAAACTATAGTCCTAGAGACCAAATAAGCTTTTAGTCTCAAGTCCAAATAAATTCTGAAAGATAAAAATGAATAACTTTTATAAAACTTATGTATATTAGTCCCCCAAAATAAATACTCTTAAGTCCACTTACACACAGATGTCAGCCAGTGAAATTTCTGCATCATTTTCCTCCATAAAGTGCAAAAGAAATGAACTATCAGTGGGAGTGAGTCACGTAGCAACTTTGATTGAGAGATATAAATTATCCATCAAAATGAAAAAAAGCTCCTATAGCACAAGTTCTGAACCAGTTTATTCGTTTCTAAAATTAAGATTTGGGGAATACATTAAATGTTCAGCCTTTATTACGTGAACATTGTTGATGCCAGTTTGTGCCACCAGTGGCTCACACTTATAATGTGGCGTTTAATTAGCACTGTTGCAGTGTCGGCATCATGTGTTCAACATTCTGGGATTCTTGGTCCAGGAGGAGGGCACATAGGGTGAGAGAACCTTTTGCGTCAGTCCCTGGCACCGCATGGTCTCCCCAGCACTATGCAAGGAGTTCCCCTGGGTGTGACCCTGTCAAAGAAAGACAAAAGAAAGAAAGAAAAAGTAAAAAAATTAAATAGCCTCTGATTATTCTTCCTTTTGGTTGAAATAGAAAACAAAACTGTGCTTTCAAGTGGTCCTAAAATGTAAGACCCCAGTGGAAGCCTTGATACTCACTCACATCAGAAGACCAGAGAACATAAGACTTAAATTGAACTTTCTGCTAAGAAGAATTTTCAGATACATCTTGAATATGGGAAGTATTCCAAGTAACAAAGCTCTGAGAATGGAGAGTCTTCTCACTGTCTGAAGTTCTTTTATAGAATTTACGAACATTATAATTTTTATAGCCTGGTTGAGCAAATATGAAATATTTTATAAGCCAAATTGAGAAATAGTGGGGAGATGGAAAGGTGAGTAGTCTGTGTTTCTCTAAGATTTTCCATAACTTTTACCCTTTCTTAATTGAGTATTGGAAAAGCTGGGTGAAAATAGCTGGTAGAAAATAGGTTTTATTTCTTTATTAACTTTAGCTCTTTCTCCCAGGTAAAGACATTGTTGTTAGAAAAAAATGAAAAAAAAAAAAGAGCTCAAATTGCGCCCTGAAAGAAACACTCCTGAGATGAAATAGGTGAAACACAGATAAGGACTGTCAAGATGACACCTATTTGCTTCTCTTACTAAAGGGAAATTGGGTTCCATTTCTATCCATCCCAGCGATGAAGTATCTGTCAATCCAGAGATCTGGGAGCTCCGGTTAAATAATGTAGACTTAATTACTTTGGTGCCCTTTAGGAACCTAACGTTTGGTATACATCAATGATTACAATGTCATTTTGTCACTGGGGGCTAAAAAATAATAATTCCATCTTCAAAAGACATGGCTTTAGCAGAATCAGTATTTTACTTTAACATCCAGAGTATCAGAATAGAAAATATTGCCAGGTGTAACTTGAGGTAGAAATGTGCATGCATTTAGTCATTACAAGCACTAAATGACTTGGACTAGAATTAAATTTTCCCATCTGAAATAGAAATTTTAAACAAGCTAAAGTGTTAACAGGAAAGGGAGAAACTTCTGATTCATTTCTGTATCGTTCAGCTCACTGGAAATACAATGTCAACCCTGCAACTATTCAGAACACAAGTTTTTACCATGTTTTGACATGTATCAAGTCATAAGGTCTTGTGTTAGGTTAGTAAATCAGTTTGCAGGGCAGTGGGTATTTTTTTAATTGATATTTTCTTCGAATACTGAGAGATACTAACAGAAAACTACACAAAGGTGACAACATTCTCCTAGGAATAAGGACTTTTATGGTTGGGTTTCAGTCATATAATGTTCCACTTGTTCATGACTGGGTTTCAGTCATACAATGTTCTAATGCCTATTCCTTCATCAATGTACATTTCCCATCACCAATGTCCCCAGTTTCCCTTACCCTAACCCCCATCCTCCCTTGCCTCTATGGCAGGCATTTTTCTCCTCTCTCTCTCTCTCTCTCTCTCTCTCTCTCTCTCTCTCTCTCTCTCTCTCTATCTCTCTCTCTCTCTCTCTCTCTCTCCCCCCCCCCTTTGGGGCATTGTAGTTTGCAATACAGATACTGTAAGGTTATCTTGTAAAACCTTTTATCTACTTTCAACACTCAGTTCTTATCAAGAGCGATCATTTCTATTATTATCATACCTGTATTTCTCCATCCTTACTGCCCTTTGCCCCACACACACTGTGGTGAGCTTCCAACCAAGTCTATGTTCTGACCCCCAGTAACAGTCACTATGTTCTGTAGGGTCTTGAAATGAATTTTGCACATGATTATGAAACAGTGAGATGATCCTGGATTATTCAGAAATCCAGTGTAATCATGAGGGTCCTTAAAACCAGGGTCAAAGAATCAAAATTAGAGAAGATTTAAGGACCCAAGCAAAGATTGGAGTAAAGTACTTTGAGCATGGAAGAAGGGATCCTGATTCAAGGAATCATGGGACCAACACATATTCCTCCAAAGCTTTCAAACCAAGCAGAGCTTAGATGAACCTTGTCTTGGGCCTGTAACCCCTTTTCAAATGCTGCCCTTGAAAAGTGAAAGATAGCTAAATGTGTGTTTGTTTTAAAGCCTACTACATTGTGTTCTTTTATAGCACAATAAGAAATAAATACAGTCCTTTGTAAGAAATCTTCTCTGAAAAATTCACAATATGTTTTCTCTGAGGCATCTGGATGGTCTCAAAAGAAGTATAGAAAATAGTAGTGTTCTGATTCCATTTCATTTAAAGATCCACAGCTCAAAAAGAAAAAAATAGGGAATGATGGACAGATACGATGAGTAGACAGATATGCATAATATAAAGCAAAAATAGTAACATGCTAATTGTAGATCTAGAAATCAGTCTCTTCCCTTAATAACTTTCTTTAGAGTTTTAAAGTATAATAAATATTTGAAGAAATTATACATATTAAATAGACTTAAAGTGGAAATGATGAGATTCTATTTTAAAATCAGCTAAAAATCAAGTGTTTTCTAAGGTATAAGCTTCTACATATCTAGCACTGCTTCACTAACCTTATTCTTACATAATTATTACATAATTTCAAGTTATGATATTACATGGAAAATAGAAAAATTTTATGTAAAAGTGTATTTATTCTCTTTTTTTAATTGTTTGAGGGTCGGAACATCCCCTTGGTAGTGCTCAGGCCTGCCCCTATGATTCTTTCCCTTTATTTGGAATTTTTCAGTATGTAATGACTTTTAAGACAGCAAAAAGAATTACACAAAGAATTTCACAATGTCTACTAACAGACACTTTCCAGACATTTTTATGCTAGCAAAATAATGATTAAAAACCTTAATGTTTCCCAATTATGGAAGGAAATGTGAAGTAGCACTTTGCCCTTGATTCTCTCCTTTCACCAGTACCATCGCCTTCACCTTAACCTTCTCCTCTGTTCTGCACCAGTGTGTGAGAGTGAAATGTACTTTTTCCTCCAACCAGGCTGACCTTTATCAGGAGTTTCACTTCAACAAGTTTATTTTTGTTTGTTTGTTGTTTAGTTAGTGTTTTTTTTTTTTTTGTCTCTGTTTGTTTGGTTGGTTTTGAGCCACACCCAATGATTCCCTGAGTTTACTCCTGCCTCTGCACTTAGGGATCATTCCTAGCAGAACCTGGGGGACCATATGGTTGCTGGGGATGGAACCCCAGTCTGACCCTTGCCGGACCAGCACTTTACCCACTGCACTATCTCTCCTACCCTTAACAAGCCTATTTTTATTTCAATTTTTGTTTGTTTTTTTGGGGGGCCACACCCAGAAATGCTCAGGGTTTATTGCTGCCCCACTTCAGGTATCACTCCTGGAGGGGATCAGAGTACCATACTGCATGCCTGGGGATCAAGGCCCCCTTCACCATTGGCAAGATCTGAACCACTCACTGCACTATCATTTGGGCCCATCAAAAGCTTATTTTTAAATATTAGTGATTTCAGAGCTCCCATCAAATGCGTGAATCGTAGCCAATTTCAGTATCTAGCGTATGTCAGAAGCTATGCCTGAATCTCCGCAATATGAAGCTTGTTTCCAGAATCTGTTCATAAGGCTAGCAGTGTGGCTCTATGTAGCCTCTAACTCCAGCTACCAGGTAAATAAGAAAAATTAGTTAAGGCCAGAGGGATCACTCACGGGTCAGGACAGGTTTATACGCACTACATGGTCCCCTGAGAACAGTAGGGTGTGTTCCAAAGAATTAAAAAAAAAAATCTTTAAACAAAGAATTTAAAAAATAAGCAGAATCAGATAGAGTCTACAAAGCAGATTATTTTTTCTGATGATCTCCACGTGCGTTTTCCACCTAATTATGCTCCAGGTTCATATGCTGCTTCTAAAATTTTAGGAAAAGTAAAGAACAAAACAATTAATAGGAACAATAAGGTGTAAA